TAAAACCACATATCTGTGCAGCCTTCGCAGATATTCGATCCGCATGAGGCTATTCGATCCGCAGCTATTCGATCTACAGAAACAACCTTCGCAGCCGTTTTTGCCCTACGGTCTTTTCAGTCATCATTGCGGAATGTTGACGAAATTTATGGGTTCCTCTGCATAGCATTCCTCGGCTAAACATGAATATTCTGGTTCAGACAATGAAGTTCGCGGTCTCTGCTACTCGACCCTACGTGAGCTGCGAGGATTTCGTCAACCACTGCACCTTATGTCATAGTCTACACGGTCCGCAACGCAACGGTCTGTTGAAGATCGTAGTGAGTTCTTCTGTTTTCCCCACCTTGTCAGTGGGGTCTTCAATCATCAGGAGCATATCACGGTTGCATCTCCCGCACATCGCAGATGATCTCGTTACCTCATCTATCCCCTTGTTTCGACGCTAAGCGTACTGATCATGCCCGTGCTGGGCTCGCGCTGTTTTGCCTTCCTGATGGTTGCTTCTATAGATAGCCGTACGCTTATACGGTCGTGAACTCTAGCCTCTGTAGTTATATGATTTCTCTCAAGACAAGGAACGTTTCGAACCCTCACATGCTTCCCATTCTAGAATATTGCTGCCAATCCTTTGGTCTAGCAGTTCAAAAACTGAAAATTTCCAAAGAAATTGCACAAGAAAACTTCTATATCCGACATTCTCGGATACTTTCTACTCAAGTAGATGCCAGTAAACGAAACTTGAATTTCTGTAGTTCAGGAGGCTAGAAGAAGTTTTTTGTCTCTTTTGTCGCCTTAATAGTAGTCCAGATTTCCTCACGAGTTCTGCTCTTTCATCCGTTAGTCGTCCTTACAACCGAAGAAATTCCGCACAGATTTTATCTTCTCCTGCATCCCCCGCGTCTAAACTTTATTCTTTGCTTCTGGGTACAGCTTTCTTTGGAATAACTTTACAGTTGACCTTAGGCCGTTAACTAGTCTTTTGGCTTTCAGTCGAAGGCTGCACATGTATCAGTATCAGTATATTGGTGGGATATGTAGGTGGGCTGCCTTTGAGTTCCCTATTTGCACAGGTGTATCTTGGTAGCAGAAAAATTGTATCTCAGTTTGCTGGGGAGGCCAATTGATCTGAGTCTTGGGATGGAACAGAGATACAGGGTGACAGGCAAGGAATGCCTAGAGAACCTTATTAATCTAAAGTAACTATATCATTGTTATAGGTTGCATGAAGTTGTATTCAGTTAACATAACACCCATCCGAGTGAATTGTCGCGGAACAATGCGAAACAGTAGGAAGACAAACTGGAGCCAAGAAAATGTTTACAAGGCTGGTAATAAGAAATCATATTGTGGTAGTCGCCTTTTGTCAAATTTAATGCCATCAAGTCTTCTTTTAAAATTAGTTATGGTGTCGGTAGAAAACATCTCGCTTGGAGCGAGTTCCAAAGTCATATCACTGATTGGTTAAAGAAAACTTTCTAAGATCCAATCGAGAACGCTCCTTTGTGACCTTGTAAGGATGGCCGTGCATGTGATTTGTGTTAACTGATTCGAATAAATCCTCCAGTCTCAGGGATTAACCATGTCCCGGATTATTAGGGATTTGGCAGATCATGCTGACATAATTTAGCCAGCCTAGTAGTCCTTCTGGTGGATTCTAGATGATTGCTTTTGACTTGCTTCAAATTAGCCATCACAACTCACCTACTTGGCCATCCTTGCAAGGTCACAAACGAACTGACTCGATTAGACCTCCGAAAATATTTCTTCAGTCAACGCGTGGTCCGACCTTAGAACGTGCTACCAAGCGAGACGGTTTCCGCTGACACAATCGCGGAGTTTAAAAGAGGACTCGATGTCATTCTATTTGACAAAAGGCGACTTTTACAACACGACTTTCTACTGCCAGCATTGTAAACAATTATTCTGGCACAAGACGGTTTTCATTCTGTTCCGTGAAAATTCATTCGAAATTCTCTCATGGTATTGTAGCGACCTTGTACTCTAACAGGTGCATGTCCCTTTGTCTGGCTTTCCGGTCGTGGCCTCAATCTGTCTGGAGCTGAAGGTCATTGCGCTCGCTAGACGTACTAGCGCGCGTGACGTGGACCACACACACGCTGTCCTCCCACACGTCATCCAACCAACCACATAAATGAACTCTGTGATGGAAGCAGCAGTGGCGTCCGCTGATGTGGACTGTTTTGTGGAAGAATCTGGACCAGAAAAATGCAAACTGAATTTTTGCATCATGGACTCCATCATCTTCATGTGAGCCTCCTCAAACTGAGCTTGTTGCCGTTTAAGGATAGACTGCAGTTGTTCCGTGGAAATGAACATAGTGAGTCCGGGTCTGCGTCGCCAAAATGTTGTAACGAATGCCCAAGCCGAGATATTGCCGCCCAATGACGTCCTGTGTGAGTCCCCAAAAAGAGAACACGACAAGAAGGGTGCAACGGCAGAAGTCTTTTTGTGTTTAAGGT